CTCTCTCTCTCTCTCTCTCTCTCGCCAGGGATAAGACGAACGAGCTTCCGTCAGATAAAACGCCGCTGTCGGCCAACGTTAACGACACCTCGGTCCTGCCAGTCGCTGGAATGTCTAATTATCAAGGAACTCGCTGTCTGTTATATAATCCAGACGTCGAAATCCACCGGTCGCTGGTATTTCCTTGCTATTGTCCCGTGAATGCATTCTAATTTGCGCCGCCAGTTACGAAAGTGAGTTGCGGCGAATGCCGTGGATGTTCGTTTGTTTGATATCTTGTTAAGAGCTTGCGAAGAACTTGTCTAGAAGTTCTCGGAAGCCGTTGCTTTATCGTCGACTACATTTGGAAGTAAGAAATATTTTCGCGCTACGGGGACTGATTTCAAAAGTAAGGTGAACATACATCTTCCCCAGAAGAAGGGCGCGTAATACGTGAACGTGTTCTACAAGTTTGGCTTCATAAAAGTTGGAAAATCTACCTCTCAACGTTACGATATTGTAGCATTCTCCTTGATGTTGAAATCGTTAAACGTTTCAAACGAGACGTTGAACGAATAATTTTGATATCGTACACTGAATATCGTGCCTGTTTTACAATATGTAGAAAAACGAATACTCGCTGTTCAAAGATTCACAATTTCCAGTCGCAATTAACAATATTCAAAATTTCCTCCAATTTTCACGATCTCTGCGAGCGTCAAAGTAGATCACAGTTTACGGCAACATTCGTACGCTGTTAAAGGAAAACGATGTTCAGACTCTCGAACAATTGCACTCGCAGCAGAGGAGGAACGTTCGGAGCGTAACACGCTTCGTCTCGAGCGACGTCGGTTCAATCGATTTCAAGCCTTTTAACGTTAACCGTTACATTCGCGAACCAACGAAAGAGGCATTTTATTTTGGCTTCATTTTGGCCGACGAAGGTGAACGATATTTTCCTGTCTGAGCGTCGACGATAAACCTCGGAATTGTCGTCACGCTGTCCGCTCCTTCTCCGACCGGTATCTGCGGATCCTCTACGCCGAGGATCTGAGCTCGCGCGAGACTCGCCGAACCGAGGAAGCACATGTTCTCGTTCCGCCACGTTTCGAGCGTGTCCTGCCCTCGAAATACGATCTACAGTGGAATATCCTACACGTACGATCCGGCGGTTTTTCGCTCCTCCTGCCGCTGCTTCCGTGTCGTCTTCTTCTTCTTCGTATTCGGCTCATTGTCGCGCGTACGCCACCGCTTTCACGGTTCTTCTTCTCCCTTTCCATTCCGTGTCCTTTATTCCGTGGCTCGGCCACGGTGAAAGATCGAACACCCTCGACCGCGCGAGGTATTACCATATTACCGTTGGAGCATATCAGCTACGTATTACCATGCACGACTGTATCTAGTAACAGCCGGCGGCGTTTCTGCTCGTTGCGTCGCGACGCGGAACGCACGGCCTACAGGCCGAGAGCTAGACAGCGTAAAAAGCATCCTACGGCTTCCATCGGCAAACAGCTGAGGCTTCTTCCTACGGTCAGGGCCCCTAACCCCCGAGGGATCGCTCCAGTCGAGTCCCACAGGTCTCTCTCTCTCTTTCTCTCTGAACTAGGGATGAGATCAAGTCCAATATGTATTTACCTTATCCAATTTAAGTTTTGATATATTTAAGTCTTACTAGGTTCTAAGATTATACTCGTTTTAGACAATTCACGCGTATGACAAGTGAATACACAAGTGTAATGAAATGAACGCATGTACAAACGAATACATATATATATAATATAACAATGTATACTTGTGCAATACTTCAGCAATAAATGAATACATACGAATGTACATCCAATCCTGCAGGTACTCGTTCCAGGATTCAACACCAGATTAAACGTATTTATTTTACACGAGCTGATACCCTAGATTGGGTATCTACAACTTTCGAAAACACGCTCATAAGTAGTTTGATGTTTATAGAATTCGAAATTTTTGCAACTCGATTCTTGAAGATCGACATTCTACAGAGTCAGAGGATCTCAAGAAGCTCAAAGATTGAGTCAGATTAATAAGATCAGATTAATACTCCAGTATTATATTATTATATTCTGACGCTGCAGATATCTGTTCCACGATTTGAAACTAGGTTGAACGTATTCATTCCACACGAGCTGATTTCAAAACCTCCGAACTTTAGTACTAAACTTTTAAATATACACTGACAAGTAGTTCGACGTTTGTAGAATTCGAAACTTTTGCAAATGATACTCGAGTCTCGAAGATCGGCATTTTAAGGCCCGCATGCATCACTGATGCAAGCACTACTGAGAAGCAAGGAATCACTGATGCAGGAATAGACTTCTTGCATTAGCTGGAAAACGAGCCGACATCTTAAAACACATGTTCCAATGTTGGCATCGCACGGAAAACTGAAGAATCGATG